GAGGGGCTGCTGATAATATTATTTTGCCATAAGCAGCCACTCGTAAATGTTTAATGTGCAGTTAGTTTTCCTCACTAATGTCTAATGACGCTAAATTGTCGCTGATGCGTGAGTGAAAGGGTTCACAAACAGCAGCTGCCTGGCATAAAATATGCAATAGGGAAATTACATACACTTATGCTATGTGTGTGTGTGTGTGTGTGGGCGTGGCAGTAGACTTATTTATGCCATTTGTTAGCTTTTTAATGTCGGCTGCTGCGCAACGTAAATATATGCTCGAGCCCAACAAATGTCTGCACTCGACACTTGAGAGTTAAATACGTACATATATACTAGATATTTGAGCTCTTTTCACATTTGTATTCATTTATAATTAGCAATCGTCAGATCTAACTGTCTCAAGTACTAAACTCTAATAAATATTTCTTGAAACTTTGATAGTTTTGATTCTTACTTATTCTCATATTTCTTGTCACCTTTTATTGACCCATAAAAATATCTTATATTTAATTAATTTCTGTTTGCATTTAGTTGCCAGAAAAGCAGCCAAAATTTCAACACTTGTGATAAATTGTTGCAGCATTTTCATGTGTTGCTTGTGAACAGACTTTGTATACTTTGACTGTGCATTCGTCTGGCTTCGGATTTACTTGGGCTTGCTTAAGCCAAAGAATTTTCAGCATCCCTTGACAAAGACATAAAAGTTGACTCGGCTTCAGCCAATTGGCTGCAATAGAATTTCAAGTAGCAATAAATTAATTTCCAGCCAGTTGACTAGACTCTCCTGGCCATTGTCACGGCTCATGTTTGGCTTTTTGTATAAAGCTTCAATTGACACTGGATTCGTCAGCAAAATTAACATCATCTGGAATTGGTCGCGACATTTTGCATATGCATTTCGCGCTATTTGTAATATAAATACATTTGCCTCGAATTCGTGGACCGCTGTAATTCGCTGCACGCAGAAGTCGCATTACGTTCGTTTACAAACACTATATAATTGCATTTCAGCTCACTGTCACACACTCGCTGAACAAATTTGCGCTGTAATCCCTCGAAATCAGCTCAAGTTGCATATTCAAATGAAAGCCAAAAGCAGCGTGTGAAAGCAAGCCGTAAATCGCTTCACATTTGCAATGCAGCTGAAATCCTAACTAAATATGATTGAGATGCAAATAAAAACAAGTGGAATTTTCTGCATATTTTTCGTGCTATTTTCGTGCTGGTCTCTGGACGAGGGCGTTATTAATGCTGCGCTCCTGTAATCCATTTGGCTGCCATTGTTTTTACATCTCTCTATGTGCGAGTGGGTGGCCTAGCCGTGTCAGTGTGTGAGAGAGACAGAGAGTGCGGAAGAGTGGGTGATTTGTGCTGCGCTGATGATTTATTTGCCCGCCTCCCAACAGCAGCTCTTAGCTTTTATTTGTAACTACAGTTATTTTTAAAATATGCATTTTGACTTGGATTTTTTTATTTTATTTTATTGATTTTATTTAATGTTAAAATATATATATATTTTTTTTATTTTGTGATTTTTATTCAGTTTATTTTAATTAAATTTAAAATATATATATAATAGTATTTTTTTTCTGAGAAAATCATTTTTTGTAAATTGACGTTCATTAATATATTTTGTATGTAAATTAAAAAAAGAGGCATACAAAAAATAGTGAAAAATACAATATTTAAATAAAAATATAAATTCAATATCTTTCTTTTTTCTTGCATTATTTATTAATTTTTTTTTTATAATTTTTTTATTATTATATATATTTATTTTGTTAAATATTTTTTTTATTTATTTTTATTTTTGTATTGATTTATTAATCTATTGTTTTGTTTTTCTCTGTTTGGAAATACTCCCAGGTTATTATTCTTCTACCTGAATGACATCTTAAGCATACATCAATTAAATATATTTTTTTTGAAGACTGCCCAGCAAACAAAGTTTAGGCGAAGAAAGCGAATACTATATAGACTTTAAGTCAATATTTGGTTCAATAAGTGTGAGCTGAAGATGGTATCATAATACTTGAGCACCTAAAGTATATCTGCATGCTGATCCCCATATAGATAAGATGTACTGAGGCTGCAGTAGACTCAGCTAAACTCGGATCAACTTCAGTGTGTGCTCGGCACAGGGTCTGACAGTCACGCCCACACACAGTTGAAGTTTCTTTCGCCTGTGCTCCTGTGTGCAGGGCATGCACTGGATAATTAAAAATACACGCAGAGAACTGTAAAAAATCAGCTGCACGCTTTTAGGCAGGGGCGTATGCTAAATAGTTGTTTGTTTGCCATTGCTGTTGCTCGTTGCTGGTTGTTGGTGCTCTTATCTGTGAGCGGGTGGAGCAGCTCAAGAGCCGTGCTGCGTTGCACTGGCGTTGGCAAAAAGGAAATGGTAATAAAACAATAGCAGAAAAAACGGAGCAAAATATTTGCGTGTGGCAAGTGCAAAGGCAGTGGAAGAGAGAGAGAGAGAGAGAGAGGGAGGGAGGGCGTGTGCGAGGAGCAGCAAATTAAATGCTCTGCGTGGGCCACTTCAGATTCATTCAGACAAACTGTAAACACACTCGAGACTTCAAAGCGAAATCGAATTAGCCAAAAAATTCACAGAGGCACAGGGATTTTCTTTCTCTTTTTCCCCCCTTTTGGTTTGGCCTTAAACAAACTCGATATGTGAAATGCTCTTCTGCTCTTAGCATTTTACACGTCCAGCGTGCAGCTCAAGCAAATAATGCTCACATCATCTGCTGAGGACATGAACGAACAACACTACAAATTTGCAGCATTCCTTTGTGGCTGCTGTGAGGCCAACAATATCCGAGCGGATTGATTGTGCTCTGCTATTTACGCTGTCACCGTTTGGCTAGTTGTCATGGTAGCAGCAGGTGCTCCCAGCGCGACAGAGAGAGAGATAGAGAGAGAGAGAGACAGGTGGTGCTAGTAGGTGGAAGTAGTTCAAGTCAATATCCAGCAGCAGAAGCTGACCAAATTTAAGTAAACTCCTTTGATAGCCTCACGATGGGCAATTCAATTCGATTGCACCCAAGCATAACTCTTAACTAAACAGCTTTAGACTGGCCCCAGTTACTAACTTCCTTACCCGTGCCTGGACTGCCCCCGCCAGGTGTGCCAAAGACAAATGTGCCTTTGCCTTTGGGGTTTTTTTTTTTTTTTTGGGGGCACGTTACATTGATACAGTCGACTCTATATATACATACATACATACAATATATAAGGGCACGTATTTTTTATCTTGACTCTGGCCAAATGGGCGTGGTTTTGGCGTCTGCTTGAGTCGCTTAGCTTTGTGGCTTGCATGCAAATTTTATGTTTTAATAACAAGTCTCTGGCATGCAAGCGGCGCATATTTTATGCCAATTGCCGTGCCACGCTCCAGGCCAACAAAAACAACAGTTACAGAAATAAAGAAAGGGAAGAGCAAGAAGAAGAAGAAGGAGAAGGTTAGCTGAAAAAAAAAGAAGGAAAAGAATAAAGTAAAGGCACAGAAGCAGCAGCACGCCCAATGCCACGCCCACAGTCAGCCTAAGGGATTTCGTTTTGTCTTCGCTTTTGGGTTTTACCTGCGTGGCTTTGTGTGTATATATATGTGTGTATGTGTGGGAGTATGTGTGTGTGTGTGTGGCTGCCCCAAAGCTGCTTATTTTTTAACCAAGCTCTCTGCCCTGTAAATCAGTCACGCCCATATTTGCTTAACCGTAAACACACCTGCCAACCGTTGCCCCGCCCCTTTGCCCCTTCACTTTTCACATGCTCTGCGCTAATTAAGTTTGATTTGTTCCCAATTGTTGCAAACATTAAACTTGCCCCAATTTCCCAGTAGTTCTTGCAAATTTATAAGTAAATACATATATGCATATATTTATATTTATATATGCGCCTTTGTATATGCATGCATGCATGCATGTATTCCCCTGCCATGCAAATTGAGCGATGCGTGCCGCATGCGAGTCAAATGTAAATGCAAATGCGACTGCGACTGCGAATGCAAATGCTGCATAAAATATGATCGCCACAATTATTCGTGTCCAGCCAGCGACAATGTTGCAAGTGCCACATTCGTCGTCAGCCATTGTGATTGCTGTGCGGCGTGCTGCCTCCCGCCTCCCGCCTCCCGCCTCCTGCCATCCGCCTCCTGCCGGCTGCTGGCGCCTGACAATTGCCAGCGTTAAGTCCGCTTTCGTCTTAATAATGCACACTCACTCATTCAAAAGCATTAAGAGCAGCAGGTAGAATAAGAGCGCAAGAGATGCAGACAGACAGCGCCTATGGGCGCATGAGTGTGAGCGAGACAGCAATGTTCTATAGCCAGGTACATATGCATGTTAACACTACTTTATTGAGCTCGTTGGCAAAGTCGTTTTTATTTAAACAAAACATCGCTCAGCAGCTGCGTATCCCTAGCTTAGCTAGTTAGTTAGTGAAACTGTCTAACTAGTTGGTTATTTAATTAGAATTTTTATTGACTCGCATTGCGCAGCATGCATTGATTCATCAGCTTCTTGTATATTCAATTAAAATCATCATATAATATTAATTTTATTTTATAATATTTTTTTTATTATCAACATTATTTTATAATTTTTTTTTATTATTATCAATATTGTTATTTTCTTATTATTAATTATTTTATTTTATATGTGTTTTCATATATATTTTTTTAAATTTTTTCATAATTTCATTCACTGTTTTACTATATTTTAGCACACTGTGCCACGCCTTGCCCAGTTGTTGAGATTTGAGTTTTAATTTCCGCTTTTGATACTTTCCAATTGTTGTTATAACTGACTTTAGTGGTACTAGCTATATTTTCAGTTGATGTAGGCGTGGTCAGCCACCTCACGCTATTCTACTTATATACAAAAATTCCCTAATTTTTCATTCTTTGTTCGCTATTTTTATTCAATTGCAACATTTAAAAACTAATAAAAAAAAGCCAAAAAAAAAAGGGAGTTGTTAAAAAAAAAGAGCTCAACTGCTTAACAGTGCTTGATGATGGTGCAGTTGACCTCGTAGTGGCACATGGCCTTCCTGCTGCCATTTTTGGGATTCAGTGAGTAGACGGTGCCGATCACCGTGTAGATCGCATTCGGTTGGTACATGAACTTCAGTATGGAGGTGTCGGGCGGCACCTGGATGACGTTCATCGTGTAGATGCCGCGCTTGAGGGGGCAGTCGAGGCTCATGTTGCTGCCGCCGCCCGATATGATCAGCTTGGCTGCATTATTCCAGGCATTCACGCGTCGTATGTATTTCCAAAAATCACATGTCTTGATCGTCGAATTGTAGATTGTACGAACCGTGTCCGATCTCATGCCATTGCGGCGCTTGCTCGGATTCTGAATGAAGATCAAATGCCATTGCGGCACGGGCACATCCTCGAGCACCGTTGTCACCGATGACATCGAATTGTTGCGCTCATGCAGTTTCATTTCGAGCTTATAGGTGGGCGTGTCCCAAGAGCTGAAGCTTAGCAGTTTCATGTAATAACAGTACTAAAAGAAACAGAAAGAGACAGAGCAGGAGAGAGAGGGAGAGAGTTGAGCAAACTGAGCATATACTAGATTTAAATTATTTAATATATATAAATTTCATTTATAACTAAATATTAATTGAAATAAAAGTCTGCTCACAGTAGCCAAATCAATTTCTAGCTGTTAGCAGCTTCAATCTAAATAATCCCCTCCAATTCCTTTTGGCCTACCACACCAAGACTCACCTGCTGAGCCAGCTGGACAATGGCCAACAGTATCAGAGATCGCAGCACACGTCTATTGCAGTTCATAATGTACAGCGAACTGTTCCAGTTTGCAGTCGGCTCTGTTTCAGTTTGGTCTAATGATTTTTAAAGTGATTTCTGATGCCGTTAATCATATAATATTTCATATGACGCACCCTTCAAATGTCTCACTCATCATGGGCATAGCCATTAAAAAAGTTAATGAAAAATATGTGCATATGTATGTGCGAAAAGGCAGCTTTACAAAATACAATTATAGCATTTGAGCCCTCACATAAAAAAAATAAAAATAAAAATAAAACACACACACACACACATAACGACAGATCTCTGTGACAGATTTTACATGGTCTTTATTTACTTGGGTCCTCAGTCAACAACAACAACAACAACAACAACAACAACAACCATAATCCGATTCAAGCTGTTAACAACATTTTTGGCTTTTACAGTGGTCGAGGCGGGGCAATGGAAATTTGTTTGCTTATCAACATCATCATCATCATTAGAGCTGCTTTACAGTTGTGCAACAGTAATTGTTAAACTTTTATTGTTGATTTAGCTAATTAGCTTTGGCATACAACTGGTTGGCTAACTGGCTGGCGAGCTGGTTAACTGGCTGCCTCACTAGCTGCTAGCTGAGATGCCGCATCTCGAACATGTATCCGTAACAGTAACAGATTTCTCCCACACACACGCATGCATACATATATCCGTTATGCTTTATCCGGTTTCCGGTTTTCTGTTTGTATTGCTGGCATCCAACTGGGCTCGAGCATGCAAAGTGTCGGCTGCTGTGACACCGCAACAACAGCCGCAACAAGCATAACAACAATGACCGCTTCCAGCTATCCAATGTCCTTTGTTGATTGACACACACACACACGCACGCACGCATCCTCATCCACACCCACACACACTCACACACATATAGACGCACATTCCGCTTCGCTTCAATTCTCATATTTACTTACGGGTTATTTTCCAGCAAATATTTGCATTGCTTACCCGCAGCGTCTATAGCATTGGCTTTTCACAATTTACATTTTGCCCATTTTCCTGCGCGACTCAACATTTTCCCACAGTAGTCCCTAGCCTACTTTTGCTGATGCCTCTGTCGGGCTGGTTGTTAGCTTTTCGCGTTTAACAGTTGCACAACAACAATTACGTGTGCCTCTTACACTCCCCCCTCCCCCCCTCCCCGTCGCCACGTGTTTGATTTATAATACAAAGCAACATCATAAAACTGCTTCACTCAATTTTCAATTTTCACACACACTCACACAGATGTGTGTGCAAGAGAGATAGAGCATGCCACAGCACAGTGGTTGCGCTTGTATGGGGAAAGCGGCCAAAAGTACTTCTAGTGGAGATAAAATGATGAAATTTTGTCCAAAATTCTATAAAAATATAATAAGTAATATAGCATGCCTAAATAAGTCGTATAGCCCACCAACACCCTACACCAATACGTAACCTCAACAAAAATTTTTTTTCTAATATAACATTAGAACAAAACAGATGATTTATTAAAAATAAATG